TGTTTTCCGTGTTAATGTTTCTTTTCGCTTCTTATATAATTCACTGTCGGTTAACTGCACCCAATGCATTTTTATCAATTACGGTCTCCTATTCTAAGAAATAAACTGATAAACACCAAACACCAATAACTGATCAAATGATTTAATATAGGTAATACATTTTAAAAAGTAAATTTATTTTTAAAAAAACAAGACAAAAGCAAAAAGAGAAGGAAAAGAAGAGGCAATAAAGAAAAGGTAAACCTAATAAACAATTTACATATTGTTGAACAAAATATAGTGCGTGTTTTTACATTTTTAGAACGATTTAAATAAAAAAAAATTGTAAAAAAGCAAATGTTTTGGAATAATAATTTCTGGAAACAGCGCAGTATTTGAAATGAGACTTACTGTTTACAACTTTTAAATTTATTCTTCTCTTAAAATGTCATATGTAAACAAATTGTGAATTGAAGGATAAGTTTTTGCGCTCTGCGAAGAAAAATATTCCTGTTCTATAATTCAAAACCGCTGCGAAATGCATGTTGTTTAAATTTCTAAATGCAAAATAAGCAACATTATTAATCGGAAACGAAAAAAACATCCATTGCTATTTCTACATGGTTGCTAAAATAATTAATTTCATAGCTCTCGTTCTTAACAGGTAATTTAAATCCCTTTTAGAGAAGAAATGGAAAATTAACATGAGGAGCTTCTCTTATATAGCCATGTCCGTTGGTTTAATCGATGTAATGTCGTGAATAAGTTTCTATCATGCATAGAACACATTAAAGATGTTTTTAATGAGAAGGAACAGCATTTTCCCGAATTGAACGATAAAGAATTGTTATGCAAATTGATGATTCTGGCCGATATAACTAAACATCTCAGTGAACTAAACTTGGGATTCCAAGGAAAGGGAATATTGCTGGAACCTTTTGAATATTGAAAAGGCTCTGCTACAAAATTAAATATATTGTCCCGTGATATTAATGCTAGTACCTACAAATACTTCCCAAATGTTAAATTGCTTGCACATACATACGCCATAGACAAAGATGGACTTCAAACATGCATTGAAACACTTAAGGAGGAATTCTTCTAAAGATGAAAAGGAAAATATAGGTATTCCTTCTTAATCAAACTAGATTTAATAGACTCATCCCATCCGACTTGTCAATTTTTGAGATAATGGAATTGATTTTTTAAGGGGTAATTTATTGAAGTAACATCTTCGGAATTATGGAAAGCAAAATTAACGAAACAATTCGAGAAACTGTAACGATAAATTGACAGATATTTTAAATTGCCGGGTGCTGTTGCCGGAGAGATTTAACTGTTTGAAGAAAATAATGATATGTGCGCTGGTTTCCGCTTTTAGTTCTACATATCTATGAGAACAAATCTTTTCTAATATTTTGAGTCCACAAAGACGTTTTTTAACAATTGAACATTCAGAATGTGTTAAATTGAAAGCCACAAATTATACCCCTGATATTGCGATATTGGTGCAAAGTTCAAAATTAAAATTTCAATTTTTATTTAATTATATTGAATGAATACTTATATTGTATGTTGTTTGTTTTTTTTATTTTAATAAATATGTTTAAAAGATGCATATTATACGTAAGATTTTAATTTTTGATTTATACTGAAGGAATGGTTATATTTTATGCTGTTTATTTTTCTGTTAATAAATATCCTTAAATGATGTGTAATTAACATAAGATAAAACTCTAAATCTGTATTCATGTCCTAACTCTCCATGCATTGCCGCGAAAATCGAATTGTTTCAAATATTTCCTACTGTGCGGCATCCTGAACCACAGTGGTAGATTGATTTAGCACACCACAGCTACAAAGTTGCCGACCACTGTTATAGAATGCAAAATTAAAAATCCCTTTGAGACTATTCATTCATTCAGACTATTCATTCAAATTTTGGACCATTAAATGCAAAAATCTTAAATTTAAATGACGCTATCATCGGGCTATTCAGAAAAAAATTAAATGAAGTGCGGATATCTAGAAACTCTAGCAAATCAAAGTCAGCCGACGTTACGCATCTATTTTAAAAAATCTAAAATACAGAACAAAATATTCCAGACCATATTGTTTTGCAGTAAAGAAAATGCTCCCGCTTAGCTGTGAGCAGCAGTGATGAAAATGAAAGCAAGTGGCGCACTTATATTACTTAGAACGAATATGCAATAATTTTCAGTATTTTTAATAAATGTATTTCTACTTCCCTTAAAAAACTGATATATTCTTACTTAGTTTTTAAAACCTAGCCATACATTCTGTATTATTTCTTAACATCATTTCTAAGCACACTGAGCACCTAAGCACACTGAGATCACTTGCACAATAAAAGGAAAAAGTTTTAATTTATTTCAGCTATAAGAAATTGTGTTTGCATGATATAAATAATTACTCATATAATGAAAAGAAAGAATTATGCAAATACTATTTATTTTTTTTTATTTGAAACAGTTAATTTTAAATTCGGTAAATTTATAGAAAGTTATTAGGTTTTTCTGAGCCAGAAAATATAAAATCTCAGTAATTTCTCTCATGGGAATTTGAACCACGGATCTCCCCCTTGGCCAACTAGACATGTTAACCACTTACATTCTGGAAGCATGCAAGGGTAGGCGTAATAATTCCTTATATTCTCCTACACTGAAAAGGCACTTGAACTAAGGCAAGCGACTCAGTCCAGGTATATCCGGGTAATGACTAATTAAGGTTATTACGAAACATCTTGGTTCGATTGCTATTGTAAAGTCTGTTAAGTTTGTCGAAGCAAATTAGGTTAGGTTATTTGAATGTGGCAAAGCTCAAGTCAGCTCTCTGTCTGAGAGAAACAATGTTTTAGAGTAGCACTTTCTAAGGGAAACTGGCTTGTATTCAAGTTATACATAAGATTAAAATCCAGGTTGAACAACCAATATCTGGCGTTTTTTAAACTCTCGACTACTGATAAGGCTTTTCTGAAGCAGGAAACATGAGAAATCAACAGCTGTCACCGCGTTTCAGACTTCCGATGTTTTAACTGTAGCTGCATATCGTAACCACTTATACCGCAACCGGGAAATGTGAATTAAAGTTGCATACAAAATTTTTAGTTTTTAGTTAGTTGAGGGAAGAAAAGTACTTAATTGAAAGAATAGAATTTCTACTCTGATGGAAAGTTAATCGTTTCTCTGTATTTAAGATTAATGTCAAAATGTTAGACCTGCTCTGATATTTGCAATTCTAGACAAGGACTAAATTTATAACTGTTATTTTCAAATAAAAAAAATCGCATTTAAATTTTTTTAAGAAACAATATTCGCAAAATTTTCATAGCTTCGATACAAACTCATAAATCTAAGGAAACTCTTCTGAAAACCCAAAGTACTTTATATCAAAGAAATCTAATATTTAACTATTTGAATGTCCCTTTTTAATTTTATATCAAGGCTCCATCAGTCCTTGATGAAAAGTTTCATAAGTTCTGATTGAATTTAGATGTAAGTACAACTTTCCATAAACAAACATTCCTCAATAACTTTTGCCTTTTAATTAAGAGATGCGAGCTGAAAACAAGAAAGCTCAAAATTAACAAATTAACTTAAATAAAATTTTGCATTTAATAGTTTTACCAAGTTAATAATAAACTATTGCATTCTAGATAATAACTGTCAGTTCATGTTTTGGAAGAAAACTGTATTTTAAAAGTTTGATTAAAGTGTTCATGTTGCAGAAACCTAAAAAATGCAGTACAGTATCTAGGAGATAAATTATTCTTCTCGAAAGTAGATTGATTCTGCGGGTTCGAAAATGGCAGATGTTAGAGGAAAAAGTTACAACTGATATGTTCGGATAGGATTTATCTTTAGATGAGGAAATATATACTAGAAATGCATGACAAAACTCTTAAAGCACTCCCGGTGCCTTAAAAGAAACATGAGTTTCCGTTTGAAAGGTTGATAATGCTCAGAATTTTTCGGCCAATTAATTTTAGGAATATTGATTTAGATTTGCATATATTCTTAAAAGAAAAAAAGTGTTTTTTACTTTTCTTGCACTTGGAAATCATGAATTTTCTTTTCTCGGTGTTTATCACATATTCTTATGCTGATATGTAAAGACTTAGTGATAGAGAACGGCTTTTTTCTTTATAACGTTTTATATATCAGTACAGCTGAAGTAAATTCATCGTAATGTTTAGTAAAAAAATTGCTCTTTAATAATACAATAAAATTTATTTTCAGTAAATCAAATAGATTATACTGATTGATAAGTTTAAAAGTTCTATTTGCAGAGATGAGGTTGTGATAACAAGAGGGGAAGTTCAAAAGAAATTTTGAAAACTGGTAGAAAAATCGATCCTTCTTTTTTGATTTAATAAAACTAAAAGCGTAAGAAAAGTTAGAAAGAATTGAATCCGTTTTGTTGAAAATCTGTAGGCTCTTTTTCTTTTAAAACTGCGTAAAAAAGAGATACGCTTTTTTGGGGTTGGAAATTCGAAAAACAACATCCTTCCAAGAAGGGCTTAATCATTTATTGGTCAAATCAGTACGTCTGTTAGATGATTTTTAAACAATGCCTCTTAAAAAGTTATAGATAAAGGATACTTCCTTTAATTTTTCTTTTAAGAAACTAACAGCTTTATTTTACTTTTTTCATGTTAAAGAAAAATAAAAAAGTAAGAATGAATGGTCATTGATATGTATAACATGCTATTAAAATATCCAAATTAAGCAGCCAACAAACGAAGAATATGTAATAATACTTTTCTTTGGAATGCAACTGCATGCAAGAAGCTAGGTCAAAAAACAACCACATTTATGTTCCAGTTCCCTTCCGAACATTGGCATACAAAAAGGAGAAAGAGTAAACAGTGTATGCCAATCCTGCATATTTTAGATATTAAAATAAATTTACCGAAGAGCTGGGTGCCCTCAGAATTTAATTAAATCAAATATTCCTTGACCTAAACTCAGAATCTATTCCACTCTGATGTATAAATATGCGGTTTGTTGGATTTTGCAGCAATGCATTTTTTCCTAGAAATTTGGGCTGTGAGTTTTGATTTCCAGTAAATAATATGGCTGTAAATACTTGGATAATTGTTTTAAGCTGTTTTACCTATCTAGTAGAAGTAAGTATATTTTAGTTTACTGTGTTATGTCTACAAGCAGTTTATATTTTTATAAAATTTGTATTGCTGTTATTTAAAATTAATAATGTATTTCAATACAAGATATTAAATATTTGCAAGATTTTTCAAAGCAAGATTTAAAATGTTTATTGTTAATTTCTCTCAGTATTAATGCTTTGGTAGCGTCTTTAAAAATCTAAAGTGTCTTACTATTATCTTAATACTTTCATTCGCTGTAATGTAAAAGCTGTCTTAGCACTCTTGATTTGCTTTTGATGTTCATCACCGAATCATTTTTCTAAAATGAGATAATTAAGCAGAAAACGAGTTCAAAATCGAATGCTAGGAGCATTACGATGAAAACGGAGCATATGATTTTGAATTCGAGGAGTAATTTAAAAAAGTTTTTAAATCTAATTCATATTTTATAATTTAATGAACTATTGAATTGCTGTTACGCACATAATTTATGTCACAGAATTTTAAAAGAACTTAAATTTAAGACTTACATGCAATAAAATATTGCTTTAAACTGAATTCAAGTTAAAAAAAGTAATTCCTTTATTATTTTAACATATTTTTACTCAATAATTTAACAAGCATCTCCTTATTTAGAAGGAACTAGCAAAATAATTATGTTCATTTCATGCTGTCTTATTAGATCACTAAATGGTTTTAACTCAAATGCCAAGTTTTCGTATTTCCTATTCGCACAAACTGGAGTTCTGGATGCAACGTAAATTATCACTTTAATAACAAAATACAAAACTAGGCTACTAAGTGCATAATTTTACTGTAAAATTCTAATTTACATTAATTCAATCTACATATATAGATTTTATGTATCTTAAATAACAAAATGCGGAGTTAGGCTACGAAGTATGTATTTTATTGGAAAAGTCTGATTTACTGTAATTCGATCTATATATGCCACTAACACAAGTGTACTTCTAACAAAGTTCCGTCATTCATGAATTATTATGCAAGGTTTATGTTATTTAACACATTATCTTATTACTTGTCTGCACTATTACTTACATCTCCCACCAGGATACAAATTAGCTACGTATATATGTAAGAAAAATAAAGAGTATGTAAAAGATTATTAAATTAGCAACGTAAATTTTCCTTCTGAGTTCTAAAAATGGTAACCTCTCCTTGCACTGCGTCATTTCTAGATTAATCCATGTCATATGACTCTTACATAATTCTGATTATGTAAGACGGAACGGTGATGTAAATGGAACTAAAACTCGAACAGCCAATAGTAATTTTATATCAATATTAACTATCCAATCAAAATTCATTGAAAACCAAAACTAACTCAATTTGAATTAAGATTTCACCTTGAACATAAAGCACTTACTTTCTAAGCTGGACTGCAGTCTGGGTGCTTCTTCTATCTTACTGCAAATTTGTCTAAAATGTAAACTTTTCGGTATAGGCACAATTTATGTGCCAACTTGATTGTGGCCACATGTTTGCTGAAATAAAAAATGAAGATTTAATCAGCCTTCGCCTCCAATTTCCTATTCGGGGCTTGGCAAATGCGGTAAGAGCAGAGATGACGTTAATTACGGAGGGGCATAAACGGCTGTGTCAGGATCATAAGGGGAGATAATTTTTAAAAAAAAAACTGTTTTTAGGTCTCATTCAGTATAGTATATCAGAAAAATGATGCACATGGTATCAGAAGAGACAATTACATAAGGTACGAAAAGTTATATTTATGTTATTAACATTTCATTATTACATTGTTTTCGTTCAGGATTTCCTTCCCCCCCCTGAGCATACTACAGGTACATGTAAGTCGGCTGAAAACACTGCTATAACAAATAAACCCATTTCAGTGAACAGCGCTATTAATACTAATTGTTTACGAAAGCATCCTGTTTTTGAAAAGCTTCGTATCATCTAACATAAATTCATTAATTAATCATTAGAATGATTTGTGTTGAATATTGCAAACATATGAGGGTTGGCTAGCCATGATTCATGGAGATTTTCTAAGGAAATGGGCTCATATTTACATATAACAAATCCATGAAATCTTACACAAAGTGGTACGTTGCAGTAGGGTTCCTTCAATCCATCTGTTAAATTTGCATCTAATTGTCATGTGCTCCCATCTGTTAAATTTGCATTCTAGTTTCAATGCTCAATTTTTGGCTAGTTTATACATCAAAGGAAAATACAAGTTACTCACTGAACTTCGCACGTTAGTCTGAATACCTTAAACCCGATGAACAGTGTATTTCGGTGACAAGGAGCTCTGACAGTACAATCTGTTTACTTTAGCGAGCTTGTGCGAATAAGTTTATTCGCTCTTTATGTAATTCTGCTTCTATTTTCTAATAAGTGAAACTTTTAATTAAATTTCTGATTTGTTTTCAAGATACAGTACGAAACCTTTGTTATTGAAAATTGAAGTGTTTGTAAATTTTCATTGTCACTGTAGTCAGACCGTATTTTAATGTGCTTTTTCGAGATATTAATCCGATTTGAAACTTAAAAATGAATTACAAGTCGATCTTCCATTCAATTGGTCCTATCGACTGAATACGGTGATCCTGAGTAAAGGGGAAGTATCTTTAGTAAATATAAAACCATATAAGCGCATTTCTAAAATAATAATTTTAAAATAAATTTGGACAGCTGTTTGACGCTGCTTTCAAAAGATTTCTTAATTATAAATATAAAATATATATACTGAAAATTACGAGAGAATAACACTACTTATCTGTTATTACGAGAATAAGTATTTCTAATGTATGCATAGGGCTTAAAAAATTTGGATAAAAATGCCACGAGGCCCCTTACCTAGGCAAATAACCGTCGAATGCTTTTGCTATAATCAAACAAACCAGACCAAAAATAGAATAAATAAGTAGCTTAAAAAAACTGCTATAGTTTATGTTACTTATCAAGTGTATTTTAAATATATTAATGATTAAAAGATGGAAAAGTTTATCCTGATTGTATATATGTAATCTATGAAGGCCCTAACAATTCTTTCTCACTTAAAGTCGTAACCCAAAGAGAACAAATTAAACTTCAGATACTATGCAATACTGAATCTAAAAAAATACAAAATATAAAAATAAATTATATATGTAAGTAAATATACGTATGGTATGAACATTGTTATAAATATTTTATGTTCTATTTGATTCCATTTATATATACATTATATATATATATAATAAAGGATTCCATTTAAGGATTATAGTAGTAGTTAATACTACTACATATAAAACCCAAAAGTGCATCAATAAGGTATTTTTCGTATTATTTAACTTCATTCTTAAGAATTTTTGCGTTAGTTTGTTATTTTATTCATAATTCTCAAATAAAAAACATTTAATGTTTTGTTTATATGTCGTAGAAAATTAACCAAAAAGCAGAGACACAATGTAATGAAAAACAGTCCTTTAGACGTGAAAAGTGAAGGCCATTTGGGAAGACTATTTTCTCATATACTCACTACTTCGCATACATGGAAATAGCATTCAAATGAAAAATTCAATATTTAACTACAAATTCATTGGTGTAACAAATATCTGTATTCCTACTTTAAAAAAAGATGTTATTTGCCTTACACTTTATAATTCAATAATACATTTTCATCGTACAAAATTGCAATCATTCGAAGAATTCAATTTGTATTTTCTTCTGTATAAAAACTTAATGTAGAGAAGTTAGATGTTTAAGGACCCCCACATTTTCTCAAGACCACGAGCAAGATTATCCCCTCCTTTTCAGACCCCCCCCCAGTGAAAAAAGGGGTTCTAAATTTACGACCGCAAATGAGGTGAATTCTTCCTATTCATTATGGGTTAACACTTCTACGCCATCAAAATTCTGCTGGTAATTACTTGTGAGTTTGTTTTTATTGAATATATATTAGAACAGAGTTCTTGAAAATTTAGGAGAGACAGTTTGCTATCACATTTAGAATAGTCAAAAGCTTGATAAGTTTGATAGGTTGAGCCAAAGCTTGAAAGGAGTTTGCTTTCATGAATTTCCGGAATTAACTTTCACTTTATGTTTTATATTATCTTAAAATCCAGCAAGTGGCGAAAATTAAACTGTAAGGACGAGCTATGCAGAATGTTAAGTTTGAAGTCTATAAGGTATTTCTCCCACCTTCCTAGCATGCCTTCGTGGTGTAGTGGTCAGCACGCTGGACGCGTATTCGAGAGGTCCGTGGTTCTAGTACAGGCGAGGGCATTGCTCATTTTTCATGTCTCCTTCGAAATAACGTAGTGTTAATAATTCGAAATAACCGTAGTCTTAATCAAAAACATTGTTAAACTTACATTTGAATTGAGTTGTTTCAATAGACGATATGTCGCCTGGTAGTTTCCACAAGGAACCAAAGTTAATTTGTCATGTTTTGGTTTCTTTAAAACTAGAACCTGACTGCATAATAACATTAGCGTTGAAACTTCAGCTTTGCAAATTGTATCTAAATATTAGATTGGATTGGATTGGATTATTCAGTTATGGCAAAGCACACGAGGGCTATCTGCCTAAATATAGTGTGTGATTATGGCAAAGCCTCGAGGGCTATCTGCCTAAGGGGAGAGATGCCTTCGTGGAGGACTTTCTAAGGGAAACTGGCTCGTATACACGTTACACATGGGGAAAACCACGAAAAAGCCCATGCAGCCGGCCCGTTCGCCGGATTCGAACCTCGAACCGAACTACCAGTGTTCAGTTTCTTTGCCACTCGGCCCCTGGTGGGCACCCAAATATTAGAGACTAAACGTTAAGTCATTCTATTAAGCAGTATGCACTTAAAAGTTTGCATTATTTGTTTTATAAAACAACGTATTGTAGTACGAGTTAATCATTCAGTACAATAGAGAAGAATTTTATAGAACTTCTCTGTAATGCAACATTTTTCCAAGATACTAAAAAGTTAAATACAGTTAGTGTTTAATTTATTCTGAAGGTTTATCAAAATCAAATATTAACAAATACCAAGAATGCTGATG